CTTCCTCGTCCCGCCGTTTCCTCTCCTCCATAGCAGCGAGTTCCGCGTCGCGGCCTTCCTTTTTGCGCTTTGCACTGTTCTCGCGCTCCGCAGCCTCCTGCTCCACTCGCAGGAGCGTCGCCTGCACGATCCCGGCGACGATCTCCTCAATCGGCCGCTCTTCCTCGTCGGTGGACGCATCCTCTCGCGTCTCCTCCATCCCCGCACTAGGAAGCTCACCCGCTCCTTTCAAGGCGTGATTTCCCATGCGTTCCGCGGAGCACTTATTTACGCTGTCGCCTATCCTCGTTTGTATCTAGACTGCGGGAGTTATCGCAGAGTACTGGTGTTATATGCGCCGGCCGCCGGCGTTCCGGTTCTCGANCGCACACATACACTTACTAATACGTGATTACCACTGGAGACACACGACACTTGAAATTACCAACTCCGTTATACCTTACTATGTTGCTTAATAGCGCGTTGTTTCAACTAGTTGAACCCTGATTTATAATGGGGTGGAACCCCGCCCCTGAATTTACATGAGATTTCGTACAGAATTGTGACTATTTTTGATGTTTCAATTCTACACAATGTTCAATATTTATATATTTATTTAATTTTTGGTTCGTTTATTTAAATAATTATGTTAATGTATGAAAGGTTTCCTACAAAATTTTAACTATTTTGTCATGTTTAAGTTTTTAATCAATGTACATTTCATTTATTTGTGTGAATTTGTGAACTACCGATCTTTGTCTTAATACTAGAAATCAGAAACTTGACATCCGAAATTCTGGTTCAAAAAAATGCTGCGTTTATGGTGCATTTATAACTACCTCGTACCTCCAAAACCTACATTGTGCCATATGAACTGCAAGTCGGTTTAGCGTACCTTAATATAGCTTTAAGTTTTTAGCTACGGTATGGCATATGTGCAATAAATTTAACTCATCCTCACTCTCACAAAATTTGTACCCGACCTATGAAAAATTAATATCGAAATATAAACAAAACAAAACCTCGATTATACATTCAGGCGATCATTGCATGTTTTTACATGGCAATAAGCGTTACATAAAACGCAATGAATTGCCTGCATTTTGTTTCCTATATAATAATACGGGTAGATTTTCAAGTATTCGAATGCCTTTACTATTTCATTTATTTTTTAAATTGTCAGGGGTGTTAACAACGCGTGCATGCTAAGAGCGATATGAAATCACATATTTGAGAGCGTTTTGCCGTACGTAGCGTTGTAGAACACTGCGGGGGAGGAGGCAAGGGAGCTACACCTCTTGTCGGGGCGATTTGTGCCTCTCCATCCATGAATGAATTATGTGAATTTATAGGATGCTGCAGTAACTCGTAGGGGAACCATCTATGAAACACATTTGCAGTAACTCTTCATACATCTGCAGCACTAGGCTAGTTGCAGTGAATAATGTAAGAATCAGCAGGACAAAAGGTTGATTTATCTGTGCATCTATCTAAGTGTAAGATATTACAATATATTGTAACACGGATTCTTACTATTTAGACATCTCTATCAGGTTGTGCGTGTGCCAGGAACGCTGACATTCGACCTCATTGTCAGAGACGCAGGCGACTTATATGCATTCGGCTAAACCCGCGTCAAACTACACACAATCGCGGACACCATGCAGCTACACACAAATATATACGACGCATCACGTGCGTATGTCTATATGGGTGCTAGGCATGATGCGGATTTTGCTTAGGAAAGCTGTTGCATCGCAAAGCGTTTAAGTGTTAGGCACGTAAAAAGACACTATAAACTTAGTATAGTGAGTGCACCAGCGCTATATTACACAATGATTTTCGAGTAAGAATAATTGTGGCTTCAATAGATGCGTTTCACACTCGGACCCTCGCAGTTTTATTGTGGTAAGTGTATCAGCATGTATTTTCTCAGTTGAAAAGCCTATCAAGGTCTTCTTGTGACAGAGACTTGTGTATATATGTATGTATGTGTGCGTGTGTGTTGCGTGCGAGCGTGGCGTGCAAAGCGTGCGCGCGCGCGGTGGTGTGTCGTCGCGTGTGTGTGCGTGCGTGCTGTGTGTGTGTGTGTGTGTGTGTGTGTGTGTGTGTGTGTGTGTGTGTGTGTGTGTGTGTGTGTGTGTGTGTGTGTGTGTGTGTGTGTGTGTGTGTGTGTGTGTGTGTGTGTGTGTGTGTGTGTGTGTGTGTGTGTGTGTGACGCGTCAGTTCCTATCAACGAGGGAGTGAAACAGAAACCATGATAATTTTTTTACATAGATTTTTATCACGCGCTATATAACAAAGTTTTGAAAATTTGAATTTATTCATTCACAAGGAATTTATTATTAATTTATGAATTTATAATTATGAATTTATCCAATTATGTTTCCAATTATGAATTTATTCACGCACAATCCGTTGACGCCGCATAACTGGATCCACCATTCGCGCCCATCCTGTCCGTTTGTACTCACGAGCCATTTTTCCTACAGCTTCGCTACTTCCCTCTGCTGCTGTTTCAGAGTCCTCACCTCCGGTTTCTTCTTCGCGCGGGAATAAAGCAGGCGAACGATCCGGGGTGTCCGTCGTACCTTGGTCGGACACGGAGCTACCCGTATCGTCCACATATCGGTCTCTGACTGTCTCACCTCGGCATTGTTCATCCTTGTCTGCCCTCTTCCTTTCCTCCGCACGTCGTTTCCGGTTCATTCCTTCTCCCCCAAGGTATGCCACCCTTCTACGTTTTCTTTCCACCCTCTTCCTCTCGAGAGATTCTGAGCTTCTTCGCTTCACTCCGCCGCTGAAGCTGCTGTCTTCGAAGGTTTCCGCGCTTACGTGATCAGCTTCACTCACTTCAGGGTCACCTTCTTCTTCTCTTCCATATTGTCCCAGGGTTCCAGCTCCGCCTCCCCCTCGTATGGTTTCAGATCATTAACGCTCACGACCTTGGTGGCGCCTTCCGCCGTCTGCTGTATCCAACGGAGCGTATTCTGGTCTTTTACCACGCGGAATGGTCCGGTCCAGGGGCGTCCTAACTTCACATCGTTTGGAGGGTAGAAGTACCATACCCATGTGCCTTCCCTCATTCCGAGCGGTTTCACTCTGCTGTCGTACCCCTTTTTCTGTCTCTCCGCTGCTTTCCCCAAGCATTCTCGAGCGCGTTCGTCAGCTTCCTCAGCTGCGCGTCGCACCCAGTCTACCAGGCGTTAGGACAGTCCGGTACGTCTTCATTCCTCGGAACAGGCCACATCAGGTCAATCGGCATGCCAACTCTGCCAAACATCATCAAATTCGGGCTCACTCCGGTGCTTTCTTGCACACTACCCCTATACGCTGCCATTACAAATGGGAGATGGTCATCCCAATCGCGTCGATGTTCACCTACGACCTTGCCCAGCATATCCTGTAGGGTACAATTAAATCGCTCCACCAATCCATCGGACTGTGGATGATACGGTGTCGTCCGTGTCTTCTCAATGCCCATCAATTCAAAAATCCCAGCGAACAGCTGAGATTCAAAATTCCGCCCCTGGTCGGAGTGAATCGTTTTCGGAACTCCGAACCTGGCGAAGAACTGTGTCACCAGACAGTCTGCGGTTGTCTGTGCCGTTTGATCCGGCAATGCGTATGCCTCTGTCCATTTAGTAAAGTAGTCGCACAGCACTAGTATATATTGGTTCCCTCCATCCGTCATCGGGAGTGGTCCCAGAAAATCAATGGCCTCGAAACTAGCTGGGCTACCGGTCTTTTCTTGTGGTGACTCGCGGCCCACACATGGTGTAGCAGTCCTCGTCTGATCTATCCCAGATATGCCAGAACGACTTGCCTCCCCACGCGAGTGCGGCGGCTTCCGCGTACGCGGGTCGCTCCGGCCTTGCGTTCTTTCACTCTATTACTTTCCGTATGGAACTTGTTTTCCACTCACGAACTTTTTTAGCCTTCCACACCATACTATCTCCGGCCTCAGCCGTCTCGGACTCATCATCTTCTCCACTCTCCGGACCATTCCGTAGCCGGTTGCGTCGGATGCTTCCGGTGGTGGTATCGCTGCACTCTGGGCAGCTGCCTCGTTTACACTTACGGCACACCGGCTGTCTTGAGAGGCCGTCGGCATTCCCATGTAGGCGTCCAGCACGGTGCTCAATTTTCATATCGAACATCCACAAAAACGCAATCCACCGTGCCACCATGCCTTCCGGCTCTCTAAAATTCAGCAGCCACGTTAAAGAGGCATGATCAGTCCGTATTAAGAAGGGTCGCCCTTGCATGTAGTGACGGAACTGCTTCACGGCTTGTACGACTGCCAGCAGCTCACGGTTGGTGGTGCAGTATCTCTGTTGCGTCCGGGAGAGAGTTTTGCTTGAGTAGGCGATCACCCGCTCTTCTCCCCGCTGGCATTGAGACAACACAGCCCTCATGCTGGTTGCGCTGGCATCAGTATCTACAGTGAACTCACCCTCTGCTTGAGGGTACGTTAGGACGGGCGCCTCCGTCAGCCGAGTTATTAGTTCACGGAAGGCGTGCTCACACGCGTCTGTCCACTGGTAGGTGTGATATTTCTGCGTCAGCTCCGTCAATGGTCCCGCTATAGCTGCGAATCCCTCTATGAATCTCCGATAGTAGTTAGCGAAACCCAGAAAGCTACGAACGTCGGCGACGCTCGTCGGCCTCGCCCACTTCCGGACTGCCTCAATCTTGCGTAGATCACAACTCACCCCTTCTGGTGATACGATATGTCCCAGAAACGCTACACTCTTTCGAAAAAGGTGGCATTTACTCGCCTTGAATTTCAGACCGGCTTCCCGGAGTCGTCCGAACACATGTCGGAGGTTGCTCAGCGTTCCATCGAAGGTAGACCCGAAAACAATCACGTCGTCCAGGTACACCAAGCACTCTGTCCACTGCAGTCTTCGGAGTACTAGTTCCATCAATGTCTCGAAGGTTGCCGGCGAGTTGCAAAGCCCCATTGGCATCACAGTGAACTCATACAGCCTGCGTTTCACTGAGAAAGCGGTCTTGGCGGCGTCTTCCCGATCCATCTCCACTTGCCAGTAGGCACTAGCTAAGTCCAGCGTGGAGAACCAGGTTGCCCCCGCCAGAGAGTCAAGGGTGTCATCGATGCGGGAAAGGGGATACGCGTCCTTCCGCGTCACCTCATTAAGTTTGCGATAGTCTATGCAAAATCTGACCCCGCCATCCTTCTTCGTTGCGAGCACTACCGTTGAAGCCCAGGGACTCAAGCTTGGCTGGACCACTCCTGCATCCAACATCCGGTCCAGCTCCGCGTCCAGGGCTTTCTGTCTACCCAATGGGCACCTCCGTGGAGCCTGTCCCCTGGGATAGTTATTCCCTGTGTCGATCTTGTGACGAACAACGTCCGACCTCCCCAGTTCAGTGTGGGAGCGGGCGAACATACTCCCGTACTCCCGCAATACGTCTGCTACCCTCGCCTTCTCTTCTTCCGTAGCTGCTTCGTCAATCCCCTCGATTAACCCCTGCAGCTGCGCAGAGAGCTCCGGTCGGAGTTCTATGTCGGAAGTTTCTGCCTGGGACCCGCGCGATGTCCCAACCAGGGCGACCTCCTCCAACCGCGCTAGTTCGGTTCCAGCGAGGATGATCTCATCCTCTGGCTCTACATTGACCATGGATAGTGGCACACGAGCCCCGTCCGTGTCTATCAGACAACGAGCCATCACCGTTCCTCTATTAGCTCCTTTTGCTGCGAACCTCTTGGTGGGCTTCGCGATAGCTAACCGCGCCGCTCTCCATCACGTCCCTCGTACACCCCCGTGCACGACCACTTTATGTCCCGCCGGGATTCGGATTGTGTCGGCCGCCCATAACACCCGCGGCTCCGTGGGTCGACCTCCGTGCATCGCATGAGTCACCCCGTTGACAGTAAGGTATCCACGCCCCACGTCAAGCTGACAGTTTCTTTCCCCCAGGAAGTCAATGCCGAGAACTCCCCCTTTTTCTCCCATCTCCACTACTAAGTAATCATGGTCGAAGGTCTGATCTCCCAAGGCGAATCGTAGTTGACACTCGCCGTGTGTCGGCAATACACGCTTGGCGGCAATGGCACGTCCATCACACAGGCTTTGGTAGGCTTCAGCGTTACCTCAGCCTTCGAGATTTTCGCAAAAGCGGTGGCATCCATCACCGTCGTCTCTGCTCCAGTGTCAACTAGAAAATCTACTAGCTGGCCCTCCACCCGTAGCATTAACTTCTATGATGGTCGATTCCGCACCATCCGTAGGAATGCTCTCCGCTGTCCTGGTTTTCGTTGCCGTTTCTTTCTCCAGGTTGAGGCCGTCGGCACTGACCCCACCTGCACTAGTTTTCCACGCGCTGCTGCGCTGCGGCTTCCTCCGGACCATCTATCGTCCGAAGGGGTTGTGAGCTTCCCACCTGTGGTATCGATCCGCAAGATCCGGTTACCGCTCTTCCGGCGTGATACCGTCCGTCATAGACGTGTCCATTCGGGCCGTTCCGCTGACGTTGCCAACAGTCCCGAGCAAAGTGACCCTCCTCTCCACATCGAAAGCACGCAGTCGACCGTATCTGGTCCACCGGTCCTCCGTGACTCGTTCCCCGTCCTCTACGATGGCTTCCGTTCTGATCTTTCTTTTTCTCTCCGGATGCTAAGAACTTCCACATCAGTCTCGTTAACTCACGGATATCGGTTTCTACTTCCGCGGGTCGTCCCGCTTCCGCGACGGTCTCCACCTCGTTGATCGCGTCGACCTCGTGGGCAACTCCTTCGAACTTAACTGGCGCCACTAACGGTTTCCGGGGCGGCACCCTACTTCTGATTTCTACGTCGAAATCTTCCGCACACGCAGCAACGTCTCCTGCCGTCCTACATCTCTGCCCCAGAATATAGATTCTGTGCGCATCGGACGGCATCTCTTCCTTAAGTCGGGGCACCAGCCACTCACTAATTTGGCTGCTGCTTGCTCGTGGCATGGTCAATCTCGCCAATTTCTTTAGCTGCCTCACGTATTCCGGCCAATCATCCTCCGGTTGCTTTCTCTGGCTGGCCAGGGCTGCCTGGTCCCGGATACGGTGCTGTTCCGTTCCATACCGATCTTCTAACTTTCCCCTAAGTTTTGCCTCACTCTGCCGGCTCGCGGACTCAGACAGTATACCAGCGGCCGGTCTTCCCAATGCTGCAGCGAGCTGATCTGCCCTTGCATCCCTATCCCGCTGATGGTACCGTCCGGCTACGTCAAACCGATTTAGAAACTTGTCCAACGGCTCTCCGGGTGCTCCCGCGAACGTTCCGACCCGTATCGGACATCCTTGTGGACGTGTAGCCACAACCGTACCTTGCCCTTGCCTCGTTAAGGTAGGTGGCCTCCTACTCCCCCTCTCTCGTTCATGGCGGTGGCGTCGCCGGCAGGGTCCGCTCTCAAACCTCCTACTCCTACTTCGACTATGGCTCGACTGTCTAGAACGCCGTCTCGTCTTTTTCCGGATCGTTCCGCCACCACTCCCTGAATTTAGACTCGACGAGTCACTTCTCCATCGCTCCGTGCCTCTCGACTCTCTTTCCCTCCGGCGCCGACGTCGGTGACCGCGGCTTCTTCCGGAGAAGTCACTATCGCTATCTCTAGCCGACTTACTACTTGCCTGGTGACTTCCGGTCTCCATTTAGAAGTCCATTCTATTTAGTCGCTAATTGTGGGCTACTGCGCAGTCAGCAGTCAGACAGCGTTCCGCTCTTGATCAGTCCTTGAAAAACTCTCCAATCTGCCATTTGATCCGATATCCCTTCACTACGATTCATCATAAAAGTGACCTTTGCCATGCGCCGTTTTAACGTTTTGATGTTGTCTAGGGTCTAGGTTATACATGCTACAGAGGATTCCCTGCGCGGGGTCAACCAATGGGATGCGCCGATATTTTGGTTTGCGAAGAGAAATATCACAGCTGAAACGCTGTTCGAAAATTTTCACGACAGCGCTGGTCGCGCATTGGATGACGTCACCCAGGATTCTGGCAACGAGGAAGCTGACAACGCATCTAGCAGATGTTAGCGATGACAGCAACGAGGCCAGCGCGCACCCGGGCAGCGTGCGTGATGCGCACCGGAGACAGCGCAGAAAATGGTGACGTCATGAAATCGAAATATCACCGAGAGCACGGTGACGTGGACAACGGTTCGCACGGTGACGTGGACAACGGTTCGCACGACGTCGAAGAAAGTACAACGACAGCGGATGGTGGACATCATGACGTCAGAGATCCCATCAAGCGTTCGATTCGGTTGGAATGCACCGTGTCATCATTTTCCTGAGTGTAAAAAATATGGTGAATGATTGTGTATAACAACACATTTCTAATCATCATTAATAATTGCTATTAAAGTCATCGGCTTAATCGCTATAAATTTATCGGGCTGCAATTTAATCATGGCCATACATACATTATATAATCATTATAAGTAGAGTAATACTAGTACTTTTATTCTGTTATCGTGTTACATTAATCGTAGTGATCGAGATATTTTGCGTTTTGTTCTAGGCGAGGGCTTCATCACAGAAGAATGGAGTACTCTTAACATATGGGCCGCACGCTAGCTGCATTAATACAACGACTATACGATACGTTCTATAACGTACCGATAAGGAGCCACACTGGTCCAATCTTTACCATGAACAATAATAATTGCTGTTTTCCACGTTCGTCTCTTTTATCAAATTGCATGCTAACTAGAGGTGTCCCACTAGAGGAATCTAACTAGTGTAATTCTCCAGAATATATATAGGGACATTTTCTTTAAAAATACGAAATATTTGTGATGATGAAGCAGCAAGCGGTGTTGTACCGATGTCGTTTTTACGGCTTCCACATCTTACGAAGCTCTCTCGTTAAGATGACCGAATATTATTACCAGCTTCACTAATGACAATATCGTGAAACGTGAATTGTCAGCTAAAAATTCTATACGTGCACGCGCATGCGTAATTAAGAGCACCTGGCGTGTGTCGCTATCGTTGTGTAACTAAACTCCTATTAAGCAATATTCTAATTAATAATTTATTCACTTTTTTCTGGTCTACTCTACGCTCATGCTTGTGAGACGTGAGCGCTGCCGTGCTCGAAATATACGCTAGAAGAATGCACAATGGCACCGCCGCCTATACAAAGATGGCCATGTGCAGCCAGCAGATAAATGAAGCTAGATTAAGATATTAATATTGTACTAAAAAGCAGTGTATGTATGTTATGCATTTACATATATATATAATATAATATATATAGTATATATATATACTATTATATATAGCAGAGAGAGAGAGAGAAGAGAAGCAGACGAGAGCAGTCTGATGAGAGAGAGGAGAGATCAGGAGAGCCAAAGAAGCGTCTTGCTCGGATGTATGATGCCGCTTGTTTATAATGCTACGATAAATCTAATAAAGATTGTTGCTGTTATTACACACTCTTGTGCTACTATACTGCGACGTACTGCTTGACAACATGCAAAGTCTATTATAAGGGTCGTATATGATGACTGATTAAACTGGTATAGTGTAATAGATATTTCACTTGAGCGCTCGTTATGATTGAAAGAGCTGCTAATTAGTCTTAATTATAGTTTTGCTTCTCAAACGTTTTCCCGCCAATCGAACCACGCCTTTAACAAGAAAAAATGGCAAAAGCATAAACTTAAAAAAGTACCTTCGATAGCCAATTGTTAACGAGGCTAATTTATAACTATCAAACACTTAAACATAAACGACTTAACTAAGTATACACAACTACATTTTTCAACAAAGTTGAGTTATCTTAGCTTTGCGCTGCATACCTCTGCACTGATAAAACAATCTGCTTCGTTTATTAATCAAAGTATCACCGTTACAAAATATTTCAAATTTCAATAAATCTGCGTTATCCACTATATCTCTTCAGCTTCAACGTTAGTGTTCTCTTGCCTTACGGATTTACACATTCGCAACGTCACGATTTTTCTATTGTGCATATTGTAAAGTTTGCTCAGCAATTTTTTTACATTGAAAAGTAAGTACTAACGGAACTAAATTACTAATCCTTCAAATTCTTACCTAGATAAGACCCTCTGTTTAAAACTAGGCTTAAAAATAAAAAACCTGGGCCGATTTGATATATTAATCACGACATTAAAATCGCTTGCTATGCCTATATATGAGTCACGAGTGTTTTGCTTAATTAGAAACGGCAATAGCAAAATAGGAAGTATAAAATGCCAGCTATTTAACCGATACAAAAAGTGAACCAGAATCATTAACATTTGATGAAAGTGAATTTATTTTATTTTTTTTTTTTTTACTTGCTTTTCATGTACTATTAATATTTCAAGGCGAAACGCTTTGTGCAACGTGATCAGCAGCTCCCGTGCGTGCGTGCGCGCTGCATCTAGCTCTTAGAGAGAGAGAGAAAGATGAGAATGAGAGCGGATAGATGAGAGAGAGAAAGAGAGAGAGCAGAGACGAGATGAGCAGAGAGAGAGGAGAGAGATATCTTCTCTCTCATTTTATCTCATGTTAAAGCCACTATTGTCAATATTTTATAAAGAAATAATCATCTAAACTGTCGCTTAATTCTATTTAATTAAGTATGGAATAACTATAACGAATATCGCCGCAAGTAAATGTTTACGTACACAGTTTTAGCACATGTATACCTACTCCGTCTATTTTGAATAAAACCTAATTTTATTGCTGCCTTAATAATTGTATCTTAGCATTATTGCGAAATTAATGCAACCTGCAGCGGTGTTCAGTTTTCAATGATCCAAACAACTAAACACTCGGCATTTTCGTTGGAAGTGCGTTTCTATTGTAAAATAAGCTCTAATTTATTACTCAATGTAGTTTTATACTACAAAATTGTACAAAACCAGTCGTGTTGTATTCCAACATAAATCCGTCGTAGTGAGTCCAATAGTGCCAGCATGAAACAATTCAAACATATAATAATAAGACGATCAAATTAACGGGTATCAATAAACATGTGCGAAAAACGTTATTTACTAAAAACGCACGATCACCACGACTACGTCAATATAATTTTAGCACATTCACCACGTTTGCACTCGCATTATAACTATTTCTAATTATACTGCGAATTGTAATCCAGTCAAGCTCAGCAGCAAATTCTACGTCGTACTGTAGCGCCGAAGATTTAATTGGAAAAACGGCTATATAAAGACCATTTCGCTGCGATCGTTCAAGAACATAACAAAGGCATAACTTTAGTATACAATGGGCGAGCATTGCACGCTCGATTTTACGCTCGCAACGCGGTGTGGGGACCACTCCGCCATGCTTCGCGTGGTAAAGAGGGCGGCCAAGTTTATCACATATTATGAATTCACACTAGGAATACTTGGATACTACCTGTCCAAGTACTACCTGGAGACGGCTGTTGGAATAATATACAGGGCCGTAGCCTGTGGGGGGCAAGGGGGCAGCTGCCCCTATATTTTGGAGCAAAATTTAAAAAAAACTGAGCTAATAATCGTAAATAACCATAACGTGATTTTTGATGCCGTGAAAGCCTTTTCTCAGAACCACCCTTATACCACACTATGGACGTCGATCAAGAGCTGCGCCGGTCGCTCATCATTACACAGTTGTGTCATGAAATTTTGCCCCCTCCCTTAGGAATTTGCTCAACCTACGGCCCTGGTATAACACATTACTGCTCCGGTGGGGGGCGGGTGTTCTGGTGCATGACCGTTTCTGTGCACTACATGGCCATTTTAAGAGATGCATGCAGTAGCAAAGGAGCATGGTGAAAATATCGCAAGCGACGAAGGAGAAGGATTTCGGACTGAAAAAGGAATTAGGGTTAATATCGGCAGTATCTCTCAATGTCGGCACTATCATTGGCTCGGGAATATTCATCTCTCCGAAAGGCGTTCTTCGTCGCACTGGTTCGGTTGGACTGGATTTGGTGATATGGTCGGCATGCGGAGTCATTGCTATGCTGGGTATGTGTAAAAAGACGAACTACAACTTACAAGTATGTGTGCCTTGCATGTCTGTCTCTGTGGTACCATAGGCATCCTGCATCTTACAGAACATTAGATTGATTACAATATCTGTCGTGGCGTTGTTCTGTTGTCTTGTCGTTCTGCTATTCGTTGTTCTTGTTTTGTTGTTCGATTGTATGTGCTGCAGGTTTTGCAGTTCTTCGTTCATAGGAAGTTAGTGATGGAAGATCTATATTAAGCTTACTGGCATCCTACATCTTACAGAGCATTAGATTTATTAAAATAGCCTATAGCTGTAATAATTTTATCCGTAGGTTTTTTTTGCCATTTTATCATAGCAATCAGAGTGTATGCATGCGCAATGCCACTTTTGATTCACAGAGATTCTTCACCTTTTCCTTCGTATAGTAATTCCTTGTTTGTAATGTTTCGCCATCATTTTTCATATACTCTTTCAATCAATGATTTAATTCTAGGAGGACTTTGCTATGCTGAACTAGGTAGCATGATACCGCTGTCGGGAGGAGAGTACGCATACTTTCTGGTAGCCTGGGGCAGTGCCGAGAAAACCTGGTTGCGCAGATTTCTCGGACCGATCATAGCGTATCTATTTGGCTGGGTCACCATCCTAGTCTCTATTTATCTATCCTAATCTATTTCTAATCTATCTATCTATCTATTATCTATCTATCGTAGTCGTGTCTACATCTACTCACTATCATCTATCTATCTTATCTTCTATCTATCTGTATTCCTATCTATCGTATCCGATCTGGCTATTATCTATCCATCTATTCTAGTAGCTCTATCGTTACTCTTCTAGTCCTCTGGCTCTATCTTCTATTCCTAATTTACTGTATTCTCACACCTGTCTATCTATCTGTCCTTCATCTATCTATCTAGCTATTAAGGTTACTATCTATAAGTTTATCTATCATCTAATCTATCTAGCTATCTAATCTATCATAATCTATCTATCTCTCTCTCCTCTCACCTCTTTCTCTCTCTCTCGTCTTCTGGCGTCCGTCTCCGTCTCTTCTCTCTCTCTCTCGTTCTCTCTCTTCTCTCTCTGCTACCTCTCTCGGAGAGACGGCAATCGGCGTCTCGGTTCAGCGATGCAGCTAATTCGAAATACGAACGTTCTATTTCGGAATGTCCGTCGTGGCCTTCTGACGTAGGGTCCATCTTCTGCGGAAGCAATTTGCATCTCTGCTGCCATATCTATATTTGCCTTTATTTCTCTCTGGATCTTTTCTGTTTTCTTGACGTTGGGCTACTATCTATCGTTCTCCTCTTTTTGTCGCCCTTCCCTTTTCTTTCATTCGTTCGTATTTTCTTGTCTGTCTCATCGCTCTCCTTTTCTTTTTGTCTCTGTTACACACACCCACACACAACACACACACACACACACACACACACACACACACACACACACACACCACACACCACACACAACGACACACACAGACACGCACGCACGCACGGCACGGCACGGCACGCACACACACTCACACACATAATTATCACACACACACACACATTATAATATATATAATATATATATATATATATATATATGATATATCGCTTCTCTATTCTCTCTTGTTTCATCCATTTTCCATTAATTTCTTTCCAAAATTTGTCTCTTTCTCCCTCTCTCCGTTCTGAGGCCTAAGCAATGTAGGTCCAACCATCGTGCGTTAAACCGCAAGTGTACGATCGGGCTACTCCCTGATGGTCATTCCGACAAACAAGGGAACGTTGATAAACCGTCTTCAGGCATTTTACAAAGTGGTTCTTCTAACTGGTTTCGCCATGCTTATCTGGTCATCGTGATGCGATGGACACGGCCCGAACATGGAACGACCTTTCTAAGGTGACATATGTGTATTCCATGGTCTTGTTTAGTCGTTTGAACATGTGACTGACATGTCCAGCTATACATGAACTGTATATATATAGCATATATATATATATATATATACTTATATTATATATATTATATTATATAGATATATTATAAATATAGTATATATAGTATGGAATGTTTACGGTTCAAATTACGTCCATTATGCTGTCCGCTCGTTACGTTCAGGTGTTGGCATTGTTGTGCACGCACGAAATATGCAGCAGATGGAATACAATTAAATCTAGTATGATGTATATATTATATGCATACATGACATACGCACGCACGCACGCAAACACGCACACGCAACATGCAACAGCACACGCGCACACGCACGCACACAACACACACACGCCACGCCGCACGCACGCACGCACGCAACAACACAAACACACACACCCACACGCACTTATGCCCTTCAATGTTACACTTTATATTAACACAGCTAATTGCGTTTACTGCCGTACTAATGACTTAATTGTGTATTCTTCATTTGAAGGTACCACTGCCTCGTATACCCAATCGTTATGAGCATTACTTCTGCCTACTGGTTCCCCATCGGGCCGATTGGGGAGACGGGCCTTCAAACCGGAGTAACATTTACTCGATGTCTTCATCCTGCCGGTTTCTGCTGCGAATACGTTCCCTTCGTTCTTTATGAGATGTGCGCCTGCCGATTCATGGAAAGACTAGACGTAAACACGGTTTGCGTCTGAAAGACATGCAGACGAGTTTATACAACCGGAGGCCTAGATAGTATAATTTTGTTGTCGTTTCTCTCGCTTGCGCGGCGGCGCTCTCCTCTCTCGTCTCTTCTCTCTCTCTCTCTCTCTTCTCTCTCTCTTCCTCCTTTGCTCTCTCTCTCTCTATCTCCTCTCTCTCTATCTTCTATTTTCTCTATCTATCTATTTATCTCTCTATCCATCTATCTATTTCTCTCTCTATCTATCTATCCATCTATCCATCTATCCATCTATCCAATCTATCTATCTGATCTATATATACATATTATGATCTATATCCGCGGTCTCTCCCTCTCCCCCTATTCGCCATCTCGTCTCGCTCTCCTCTCCTCTTCTCTCTCTCTCTCTATTATGATATATAGTATAAATATATTAATATTCATCTGTGCATATTTGCGTGCGTGCGTGCGGTGTGCGTGTGTGCGCGCGTGCGTACGTGCCGGCGGGCGGGCAGGCAGATGGGCGTACGTGGCTACGTGCGTGCATGTCTAGGGTAGGGCAACGTTTTCATGGTACCTTTTAAAAATACACCGGTTTTTACTTTTACAGATCCCATAACAAGTTTCCTTCAATTGTACCTCGAGCTGGCGCCACCTAGTGGAGAAATCTGGCACACGGAGTAATTAAACACACGGCATATTATGTGGAAGTTTGCTTATGGCATTTGAAGGTAAACGAACTTGACAATTTTCCGCCTAGTTGAGCTTCTCTAAACGTGTTGGATTAAACACTGCCGGTAGAACGTGACGGAAGTTCGTTCGAGAGAAACGGTTTATTATTTTTGTTGGTAATATTTGGAAACAAATTAAAAATAAATTTAAACAATTAAATAAATATATTATACATAACTATTAT